ATATACAAATTCAATTAAAATTACTGAAACTCAAAAATAATTCCATTGTAAATGAATTAAGTCAAAATCCTAGTTTAATTACTGTAGCTACAGTCAATAATAAAAATTGCACATCACCGTTATCTATTTTATTTTACTCCATTTCATTTTATCGAATATATACAAACACGTTCAGGGTGGTGATTAAGTTCTGCCATGTGCTGTAAACAATGGGGAAAGTTAGGTGACCATTACAGGGTTCACATATANTATGTGATTTCCTGGGCTATTATTGGCTGGTTACCCTTACAGTTAGAAACCACCAGGGATAAAGCGAAGATTTCGGTATCTCTCGGACACCGGTGTAACTGAGTTTTTCCCCCGTATATTGTTCGATATAGAATTGAGATCCCTTTTTAGTATCAGTTAACTAAAACAACCAAATGATGCGCCGCATTTACGCGGCAAATGATTGAACACAAAACCATGGAAATTTTTTGACTTTTTTAAAAGCAGTCCTTCAAAGTTCCTGGTTTATTGATTACTTCCCGGGACCTTATGTTGTTCGCCACTCCACGTCCGGAGGCTTACCGGTTACCGGTTTTCATCACTGAACAGTAGATCTTCGTGATTATGGGGTCTACCCCGTCTGTTGTTCATCGCACAGCAATATCAAATCCAAGTTTTTTATACCACGGTATTATATTTTGACCGAGCAACAATGTAGCACACACTGTGAGCAAACAGGTGCACAACTCGGTGTTAGTCGAGCGAATAAGCATCTTCGCTGCCGTATGAGTCAAAACCACGCTTAGCCTGTTCTGTTCTGTTCTGTTCTTACAACCATCAACCATGGACAAACGTGCGACGGTTGGTTGCTGTCTTTTGTTTACCCATTTGGATAGACCAGCAGAATCAAGATTAGAATGTTGACATCAGATTCAAGCGGAGGATAACAAATTTCTATAGACTGAAGTTACAAGGATAATGAGTAGATGCATGAGCGCCACTGTTTGCGACACCTAGCCATATTACTCAGTGTCTCTAACCATCGATGGCCGTGATCTCGGGGCCCCCAACCAGGGAGCCTAACGGGGCCAATGTGACCTAATCTCCTGGTTAGGGTTTTCATACCCTCATGCCAGGTCTTAATTTGACCGCTCTAATCTTCTTCCAACCGCTACCTGCCTCGGCAAACGTCGCTCGCTGTGGCAACCTATCTGATGACATGCGTAGCACATGTCCCAACGTAATCTATAAATTTCCACCACTTGCTCCAGTAGATGATCGCGATTGCCTAAAATTCTACGCCAAACATCGGCATTGCTCGTCCGGTTTCCCCACCGGACTCCTGCATTGCTACGTAGACAGCGGTGTTTAAAAATCGGCAATCTACTTTTATTATGTTCCCGTAAACTCTCTGCGTCGTAAAGCAGCACTGGCCGAACTGCTACAGCCTATACTTCACAGACAACCGGGTACGCTTAGCCTAGTGGAACCTCGTATGGTCCGCTACTCTAAGTCCCCAGGCTTAGGTAATCGGTTTCCATGAGTTAACAGCAAGTTCTCGTGACTGTGGGGGTCTACCCCATTTACTATTTATCACACACAAGTTGCGTAGTAAAAGAGCGAAACAATGTCAAACGGGAACTGGCGTATCTGTGATGTTCCACGGTGGTAAGTGACCTAGTTGGGTGTAGGGTGTCGGTTATTGTCACCATTACAGTAATCCAGTGGTCATTTGTTCGAATCCCACCCCCGCCCCGTCTGCCGTGCCGTTTCATCCAGATGTTTGTTTGTTTCTAGACACTTCACTAATCTCAGTTCCTTTCCTTTGAATTAACTATACAGTCGTTCACTCAGTAAATATGATAGAAATGCAATTATTATATTGATTCTGGAATCCTAAAGACTAACTGGTTTATTGATAGCACTGAGAGGCCTGACAGCGAAACGACTGCGGTAGCGTTCCTGTCGTCACTTGTCACCAGGCCAGAGTGAATTGCGTGCCTTCTTTTTCCGATGTTGGTTATTCTTTTTTTTACTTTGTGCGATGGTAATTATTAGCCCGATTATTAATATTATTATTATTACATAGTAAGCTCATGGTGCTCGAAAACATCATTCATTTTGGTCATCTAACTGCGTCATCTTTCCTTTCTCATTAGTAGTTTATTGATTGGATCTCGTTTATCATTTCATTGTTCATTTTAACGATTAGATTCACCAATGCCGATCCCGTGTAGAATGTCAGCGGAACGTAACGCCCCGGTCGACCGGGTGAATCACGGTATTTCGGAAATCGGTTGCCAGTATTCAAGACCTCCAATCATGCAATCCGATGCCTGTGAATGTACTGAAGATCACTTACCGTCTTTCCAATCTATCGGTCTCCAATCGAATCTATGGTCTCCGACAGGTCCGGTGTGTGCGTCCATGGAGACACAGACTATGGACGCGGACCTTGAATCCTGGTTGAATAGTGTTCACACGCAGACCTCAGCCTCACCATTTGATATACACGCGTTTACAGACATGAGTGTGGGAGTGAATGAGGATTATTTAACCAGTGACTTCGATTCCGTCGAGACGACAGACAGGAAGTATGCGAACTAATCTGTTGTCTCGTTGTTCACTAGCTTTCATCTACTATCCGCTGTCCTGGTTGCTAGCTAGCTGGCTTGATGCTTTCATCATTCCTCTGTGAAGAGTCTCCTCTTGCTTTCCATGCCCAGTGCTCCACTTCGCCTACTGATCTATCGAACTGCGCATATCATTCAGAGTTGATTAGTACATTTGTGATTCTTTAGAAATTTATCTGACCTCGTCATAGGTTATCCGAGTATGTGATTTACCAGTATGTTATGTACGTTCCAGTTCTCCTTTTTTTCTGATATTTTCACAAGTTGATAAACCTTTTTACTGCTTTTACATTATCGTCTTATGCTATGGGTGGGTGTGTGATCGTGAATGTTTTGATTATGGTCTGGAGAGTGAAACCAGCATCCTAATCAGTATCTATATGGCAATAAAGAAACCTGGGTTGATTTTGCACACAATTGTCTACTTTGGATTAGTTTGATGATTTCACAACCCATGATTGACCCGTATGACTCCGTCTGGTGTGTAATGTAACTGTTGCGTAATATGCGTCCATGAATTTTCGGGAATGTACGCAAACCTTTATCGGTCATATTGCGATGGAAGGCAGTACAAAGAGAGTCCTGGTTAGCGACCGAAGCAAGAATGGGGCTCATCCGACCAGACGCGCAGACGCAGCGGCGGGAAGTGCTTCGCGAGACAATGTTGACTGCCACCCGAAAAGAGCGAATCGACAATTACAGCCCGACAGACAATCCGCGACTAACGGGAAAGATACCTACCGAATGCCACAACGTCGGAGCTGTCGATCAACGCATCTCGCGCCGCGATCGGGTCAAACCAGTCGGAATGGCACGTTGTAGAAGAGGCAACGTACGTGCCAATTGCGGACCAAAACCAACAAGGAATGAGCCACAGAAAGAGGTATGAATCATCCCGCCGCACGGTTGAGAATTGACTGTATATAATCGAACGCATACACTGTTTTACTTTTGAATTGGATCAATAGACGTTTTCCCAGCCAGCTCACCTTCTCGCTACAATATGACCGTGTCAGGGAGCCTGCTCAGCCCTCCATGTTTTATCCAAACTCCTTTTCTCCACCTATCAGTCCGATTTCGCTATTCAGTAGGAGTAGGCAAAACACGACTCACTGAGCACAATCATCATATACATACCTCTCACATCTCCAGTGGACAGCTTTCTCCTATAAAGACACGAAGTGATCTCGATCAGTTGAATTCCCAGCTAAAGGTTTCTCTTCCAGGTAGCGATTTCCCAGGTCGTGAAATACAACACAGCTGGAAGCATGTAAGAATTCATCTGTTGTACAAAAAGTGTGATTGTTTATACGGAGGAACAAAACGGTTTTCAAGGAGCATGCTGATTCCCCAAAACTTGCCGTTTTTGATCGTAGGCTCTCCGGTATACATTCGAAGCTGGGATCCCAACTGGAACGGCTCTGCAAGCTCTCTTTTTCCAACTGAATGTTTTTTTGTTTGTTTAGAGTACTACTCGGATGCTCTTGGCGAAGTCGTTAATCGAGGTTTTTCTCTCGGCAGGTTGAAGGTGTCCTTGGGCAGATCAAATGACAGCGGTGGATCTGTTTGCGGCATTTGGTGCATCGATATACATGAATCTCGTATATTACATCATCGTATTTCCAGTGAATTGCCCCGTTAACAAGGCAGTTATCACGCGGGGGCACGACTTGTCTTTTCTCTTAAAACTGTATTAATGGCATTAACCGTTTAGACAATCTGACGCGTCGGAACACCTGTAACAAGCCGTCTTGCAGTTTCTCAGCATGTACCCGGACACAGTGGTTATTTTAGACCCAGATACCTGTGAGCCGGTCGACAGTACCTGGCGGAACGAGTTTGAGTGAATTGGCACCGCGTAAACGAAATCTTAGTGTACGAAAGTGTCGTATCATCTATCGGCTTCAAGACTCACATCGACCGGAAGCGCTGGTCCCTACCGTCATCTGACTTAAACTTTTGTTTTGTATGTGGTGGTAGTCCTCTCATTAGTATCTCCCCCTTAATCATTTCCGATGCAATGGTGTATTCCTGAAAAGGGAAGTTGAAAAAAGAATACAGATTCTAACTTCAAAGTTTCTCGTATTTCAAGAGATGAGCGTCTCACGTACACCGAAACCTCCCCAGAAGTCGTCGTCACGTGTGTTTGAGAATTCGTAACATAGCTACTCGGAAATCAGGAACCTTGCTTGCGTCTCTTTGTACTTTCGGAACTGTGAACCGTTAGTCAGATTTTATCATCATCATCGTACAGCGTAATACAGGAAAGTAAACTTCCCTGATCGCTGTCAAACTCATAATGCATACAAGATAAGTGAGAATGTGCAAGGAGGACAGGGATTGGGCCTACATTTTAGGGACGAGGAAATGAAATCGAACCTCTATGGTCAACACATACAGTCCAACTGTGCATACACATGTTTTCAAGCACTCTGGTCTGATAAGAATTGACAGCATGATCGCCACCGCCGTCGCTTTGTTACATGACCTTCAATGTCTCCAACCATTCACTTACCGAGTTTTTTGGACTCTGACCGGGAAGATGAGAAACACTTACTCTACCTAATCGCTCTGTACATTTCTTCATGCTTCGCCTCCACGTCATCTGCTGTCGTCCACGTGGCTTTCTTCAGTCTACAGCGGGTACTGCAAATAAGGCGCCGTGCGGTAAGCGACCGTTAAACATACGCAAAATGTGTCCTGGCCGACGGAGGTTATTGATCTGAATACAATGCGATAGCGAGTTCCTGTCCTATGCATACTCAAAGACCCGACAATTTAATTCTGGCCCAGTGTACGCGACTTTTTAACTTTAGTGACACGTCACGTTGTCGCCACAGGTGCTTTAGTCCTGCGTACGCTGCTCGAACCTTGGAAATGCGGACGCTTATCTCCCTTGATGCGCTATCGTCGTTGGTCACGCAGCTACCTAAGTACGAGAAGCAGTCAACTTCAGTTAATTCCTGACTGTATAGTTTCAGAACAGAACTCGGTGACACCCAGTCTTGTAGCATCACTTTGAAGGTGCAAAACACATGAGGAACGGAGCGACAGAACTTAATAATCTGTCAAGTGCTCTTTATGCATCCTCCATACATTCGAACAAGCAAACGATGTCGTCAGCGTACTCCAAATTCCACAGCTTTTCTCCAGCTGCTCATTCAATACCCACATTTTGGAGACTGCTTAGTGTGTTCTTCAGCATTTCGTCATAGACGAAATTGAACAGGAATGGCGAATGAGAGCACCCTTAGCGAACACCGCTGCTAGTTATGAACGACCTAATCAGCTCGCCGTAGATCCTTACGCTACCAGAAGTATGAGTAGAATGAACTCAGTACATTCACATACTTCTGCGGCATTCCTTTGCGAAGGAGTGAACCCATAAGGGATTCACTATCAACTGAGTCGAAGGCTCCTTTT